TTATATAAGAAGCTGTTTATGTTAGAAGCCATGATGATTGGGAACCATAATTCACACTAATATAAAGGGAAGGAGTTCACATACTTTTCCAAAAAAGCATGGCACTGGTCTGTCACACCGACTTAGTGGCCTTGGAGCACTTGCTCTCCCTAGATTCTATTCCTGATCCATCCATTTTCTTTAGGATGCAGCAAAAGCTCACTGTCAGAGAGGAGCCTCAAGGTGTCCCGGGGGGAAGCCTCCCCTCCACCTTCCCACACAAGCAGCCTGTTCTTGGAGAAGGGAGACGCTCCAGCTCTTTTCCCCATGTTTCACAACAAACTCCTGGAGTCCAGTAAACTGGCAAAGAGCTGCCATTGCCTCCGGTTAACAGTGTTTGGGTTTGCTACATGGAAGCAAACTGCATTCTGCTCCCTGAGCTGCCTCTCCACCGTGACTTCGGGAGTCGGGAGGGATCAGAGCCAGGGGCCCATCCCACACGCACCACTCTCACCCACTACTCTCTCAGGGTGCACGGGAGCAGCCCTGCATCCAAATGAAGGAAATGCTCACCTGTTTTCAAGAAACTCTCAATCTCTTGGGGAATGTGTAAATAAGAGCAATTAAGTCATTAAATGCCAACTATGAGGTAAGAGCAGTTTCTGGTTGCTGAAGCTCTTTCAGCTGAAACCTAAGTCATGGACTAGCTGAGCCCAAAACTCACTGTACAACAGCGCCAACAAAATGTGAGATCTTCCCTTTTCTGCTTGGATGTAAAGTCACAGGCTCCTGAAATCACTGAGGTTACTCAGTACTGAGATTACTTCATCTCCCCAGTGACAGTCAGGAACTCAGCAATAATTCACCCTCTTGCTCCTGCAATGCTTCTCACTGAAGTCAGACCTAATTAGTGTAGCAAAACAGAGAGGATTACAACACCACAAGGTGACTGAAATGGCATTCATTATTGATTTGCCATCCATTTCTACAGTGCCACGTGAAGTTAATTAAATTTCAAAACACTGCTTCTGCCACAAAAAGAAGACTAAGCTGTGCAATACAATATTTGTTTTATGGTGAAGCAACTGTCCTGCTAGTTTGGACAATATATGTAGTATATTTTATGGAGCTCTGCATTTACTATCCTTATACCGTTCTCCTGTGCACAGTCAAGGCATGTACCAGCAGTTTTTCCTGCCCCGGGCAGAAAAGTCAACAGTTTTCCAAAGAAGGGTAGTCCAGCAGTCAGGCTCTGCATGTCCAAAGGTACGCATACACACTAGTGCATTTCCAACCATGATGTTCAGAGCAGGACACATATTCAAGAACATGTCGAGCAAGTTACATTCCCAGATTCGGCAGGCATCTCTGCACAAGATAACAGTCCTCTCTGAGATTCCCTGAACACTGCCCTGTGATAATGTGGTTAAATATTTTCCAGACAAGGTGGGCATCTTTGTTGTTATCCAAATGCAGATTTCATACTCATTTGCATTCAGGTTGGCAGACACCTAGATGTTTGGCTTGCATTGCATACCTAAAACACCAATGAAAATCTGCAGCTATTATATCCCAAATAGGTTATGTGTGTACAGAAGTGACTACGTAAAAATGCAGAACATAGGCAATGCTTAGCATTTTGCACAGCTAATTATACACTTTGCTGAGTACTGTTAAAAAGTACCTCTCAGATCAGTGTTCTACAGCCATCTTGTATAAGTGAGAGTATACAGGGCAATAGAAGACTGGCACCAGGTTTTAAACTTTGATGCAATTTTCCTTTCTCATACTAGGTCCATGAGAGAATTTGAAATAGGGTACTGGTATGTGATTGTTTACTCAGGAAAAGCTGGTCCCAGCAAGTGCAAGGGCGGATTGCTGTACAGATAGCATAAATTGTAAAAGCATAAAAGTTGAAGTGATCATTATGCTGCAGTCAAGTGAGCATCACTTCCCTTACTAAAATATCACCATCTCCTCATTTTGAAGTTTGCTGTGGCCTAGCCCTGTTCTTTTATCGGAAGATTTCAAATGTAATTAAATACAGGCATGTAACATATGCCTGATTTTGATCTGCTGTAAACCGATGTAATGCATTTGTGATGCTACTGGCTCCTAATAGAGCTGCTATTGCATTCACCTGAAGCAGGAATCAGCTCTTTCAGTTGAGAGAAAAGTATGCAAATTTTACTATTTATAATGTCTTTCTTCAGAGCAAATGAGTCCGAAGCTAAACCTTAGGAAGAAACACGCCAAAACTTTGGAAAAACCTGCCACTAGGGTTGTTCTACACTCAGTACTTCAACACTTCAGTGAAAAATCATGTACTGGGACTGAAATAAACCCCTAAACCAAGCACAAAAAGGCTTTAAGAAACATATCTGAGATAAATCTCCTAAGCTTTTCACATTTTCTCCTCTGCAAGGAAGTCTACAAATTAGCTTTCATTTAAATAAAAATAAAATTGCCACAAGCACAAGAGTTTTTCTAGATTCGTGATAGCATCACGAGACCTCACAACATTGACACTTCAGAAACATGAACCCTTGATATCAAATCCAGGGTATTCCTGTGGTTTGAAATTAGAGTTGGGGGAAAAAAGTTTGTCTCTAGTTAAAAGCATTTTATCAGTTACACAGATTCTCAGTGACTGCACATACTAACCCTGCAGGCAAGGTAGAGATAAGTGCAATAGCTCAACCTCAGAGCTTGATTAACCTTTTTTTTTCCCAGTATCTTCCGGCACAATCTCCATCTTCCTCCGAGTTAGTGAATGCTCAAGCTTCAAGGGATCAGGAAGCATTGACGAACCACAGCTTATCAGCACCTCCTCTGTTCTTAATTCCTCTATACTACAACTTTTTAGCTGCTATAACCAGAAAATAGGAGGCAGCAAAAGGACAGCTATTGAAATTCATTCCTAGTGTTAACTAGGTAGCTATCCTGTTTAGCTATGCAGACTAAAAATGCTCTGTCAGCAGATTTCACTCTGCTGTGAGATAAATATCCACCTTCTGTAGGGAACCTTTTCTTCTTCCTTTCAGCTTCTTAGAACAAGTTTCCAAATTATTTGACTCTCGCATTGTTATAAAAGAAGGACTCAGACCAAAAGCCTTTCAAATAAGGGAAAGAACAAAAGTCTTGATGAATGACATCTATTCTACTGAGTACAAGTCCATTTCCTGGGTCAAGGACCGTTCTGCTCCTTCAATTTGTATTAGCAACCCTCAGAACATATTTCAGATGTTAACGAGATTTGTCAAAGGACTGGATGTTACCAGGGTGTAAGCTAACCTGGCGGCACTGCTGGCCTTCAGCTAGCTATGCTGATCAAGAGAAAACAGGGAGTCAGCTCAAACAGAAGTGCTTACTTTTTGTGAGCATGAAGGCTAATGATTTTCTTCTTAAAACCTAAGGGGTACAAAAGTAGGTGATTTTTGAGTGCAGGCAAGGGTGGGTTTTTTCTGGATTAGACCTGTAAATGTACTGCCTTGGCATTTTAATGAGCCAAAATAAGATTATGACACGCCCAAAGGCAGTATGCAATTTCATAAATAATATGTGTGTTTGCCTGCTGATGAGGGAAGTACCATGTCTTATAGCATTAACAAGATAAAAGGATATTTCAAACACTTAAGGGTTTGGTATTGTTTATTGGCAAAGCATCCGTCATCAAATTTGTGAGCAAAGCTGATTCCTCTTCTACCTTCTTCTTTCTAAATAATAAATAGCATAAATACGCTGTTAG